CGTCTCCTCCTCCTAGAAACTCCCTTTCCATTTTCCTAAACAAATATGCGTCAAAAAGTGGGAAAAATGCGCCGGAGTCTGATTACGTCATCACGCCATTGCCCTCGCTGATTCGATATCAGCCTATCCGCCATGACAGGAAGGGCGTGGCTGTTTCCTCCATGCGTATTGCCATGGCGACTATCACTACGCAGCGTTCCGATATCAGGTTTAATAAAAGTATTTTTTCTGCGTGTGTCTTCTTATTGATACCTGTTTCCTGTGGATGGATTATCGCTGAGTTATTGATCCATACCAGTGATATTGGGAAACCGATCATTGACCTCATCATCTGACCTCCTGTTGGTTTGGGGGGAGCCGAGCTACTTTTTTATTACGGGTCTTTGGGGGCTGATTTGATGATGGCCTCATGTCGGGTTGACTCCCAGTTTGTTTCGCCTGTTGTGTGTTCTCCGTTGTGTATTTTATAGCGCCGGTTCTCCGCCCTGTTACGTCCTAATTGATGGAAATTGGATTTTACAGCCTCCATGTTTGTTTAACCCCTTCACGGCCGGCATGTCTCAGGCAATGATGGGCCATTAATTATTCTTTATTCCCCCCCATTGTCTGCCGGATTCTTCCCTCGCTGGACGCACACAATGGAGATTGTCCATCGTTTGGTATCACCAATTTGATGACAATTCTGAGGAAATGGGAAACGTCTCCACCCCTCCAGTTTCATATTGACAGGCTCCCTTTGTGCTGCCGTCCGAACAATGAGTGACCACAGCCATGTCAGAGATATTACTGCTGGAGGACAAAAGTCTTGGAGTTCTCTACAACACTGGCAGTGAGCCACTTGGGTGGAACCAGGGCCAGATTTCCCACAAGGCCAACCAAGGCCCGCCCTCGGGGCAGCAGGGAGTAGAGGGGCAGCAGGGAGTAGAGGGGCAGCAGGGGTAGATGTCTCAATATTTTGAACAGGAACAAAATTAAAATCGTCCACTGGGGACGCCAGTTGTGGGGACAACTATCTTAAAGGAGATTCGCTCACTTAGGAGAAATTTCCTCCCACTTCCTGTTGTGTCTGCAGGACAGGAAGTGAAGGTAAATCTACCCAACAGGAAACAAATTAAAAAAACACTTGTCGTGGTTCTAAACATTCCCTACTCCATTCAAAATTAAAAAAAGTTTTGTCTTTAGAAGTACTTCGATGATCCAATAGCACGTAAGTAGTCCATTGCGGTGATGCACATGACCATTTTTTGGCAATGCAGCACACCACAACGCACAGTATGCATGTTGCGGTGGATTGCGCTTTGCATTCTACAATACAATGTGTTGGGGTGCCATTTACAATGAATGACACCGCAATGCACCATGCATACTGCAGGAGGGTCACCATGTGTTTCCGCGTGTTGTGGCAGCGATCCGGAACAAGGAGATTGCCCGACCATTATACACTGAGCGGCCGGGTTAATATGAACACCTGACGTTTGTAGGCAAATTATCTAAAATTTAGCGCTGAAGTTGCTGGAGGGCCAGACCAATTACAGGAGCGGCACAAACCTGGAATGCGATTATTTCTTGCACTTTGGAGAAGGTGGGAATCATTTTGTCCGGTCCATTTTCGGAGCTTTGCGTGGAATGTGTCGGGTTTGGCTTTTTTTTCTCTCCACTTTCTTGTGTCACCAATACAAACAAAATACATAAACACAAGAACGCCGAAACATTTGTAATTGTAACAATTTTCTGCGTGAAGTGTTGCATTATCCGACAGAAATGAAGGGTGCCAATATTTTTGACCATGACTGTATATAGTGATTTTTTAGACCTTTACAAGCTTTTATACTCTTATTTTACATGTTTCTCCATATGTTGGTCACTAACCTCTACTCATAATGTATGTTGCTGTTTATACATACATAAAGTATCATATATGTGGACTAGGAATTTATTTGCATGTTTTATTATATGATGCTGCACTGCTATATTATAAAACATGCCAATAATTGCAAACTCTACATATATGATACTTTCCCTATGTATAAACAGCAACATGCAATATGAGTAGATACATGCAGTGTTCATTTTCGTCATAGTTTTTGGCAACAACACTTTTTCAGGGACGAAAACGAAATAAAAAAAACGAAGGCCCCGTTCACACCAGGGCGGCTCGGGTCGCGTGGATTTTTCTGCACTGAACCGCCTACGTGAACAATCCCATACATTCCTATAGGGACCGTTCATGCAAGCCGCCTGCCGCCCAAAATGCTCCCTGAGCTGCTTTTGTCGCGGTGTTCAGCATAAAATCATCATACCTTTCCATATAGATTTCAATGTAAACGCGCTGATCACCAAGTTTTTGGGCGTTTTTAATTTGCGTTTCAGCGCTAAAACGCGGTTATAAACGCCCTTTTAAAAAATCGTGTTTAAACTGCTCTGAAACGCTTCAACGCTGGTGTGAATGAGGCCTTAGTTATGATGACTAAAATAAAATATATATTGACATTTTAGTCGACTGAGACTAGACTTAAGGGCTCGTTCACACCAGATGCAGTGCGTTCTGGCCCGATTCTGGACAGAACGCACTGCCTCGCATTGCGGCCGGCTCACTTTTTTTGTGGCAGGCCATTGAAGTGAATGGCACCGTAGCCAAGCCCTCCGGCCGCAATGCGATCGGCCACAAGGGATTGCAAGGCACATTATGCCTGCGGTCCGGTCTGATCAAAATGCTGCAAGCACTATTTTGATTGCACTGGTCCGCAGGCATAATGTGCCTTGCGATCCCGTGCGGCCGATCGCATTGCGGCCGGAGGGCGTGGCTACGGTGCCATTCACTTCAATGGCCTGCCACAAAAAAAGTGAGCCGGCCGCAATGCGAGGCAGTGCGTTCTGTCCAGAATCGGGCCGGAACGCACTGCATCTGGTGTGAACGGGCCCTTAATGTTACGGAGAGACGATTTGGGAAGAGATCCAATCAGAACTAATGTCTTTGGACTTCCATTTCTGGTTCCAACCTGAAGGGACGGCTAATAGGTAATAGAGTTGCACTTCTGCTTGAAAGAATGAAGGATGTCATACGCAATTTATTATTATCAATGCGGATCTAATGACTGGTCCTTTGTGGAAAATACTCAATATTCTTGTTTCTTTATAAGGCCTCATTCACACTAGAATCGGCCCGCACGTACAGCTCTGTACTGCGTGCACGGCCGTATCGGGCCGCTCCCGGGAAGGACAGGTGCTGCGTGGGATTAGTACGCAGCCCCTGTCCTTCTCTATGGGAGCATGCGGACGTACGCCGCCCTACGCTCACCCCAAGTGCAGGTCCGTATAGGTGCGGTTGCCCCGGTTCTGGCGCAGTCGGATCCATCCTGTCAGCGTACGAGTACGGACACCGGCACCCGCACGGACATTCCCGGGCAGGTGAGCGTAGGGCGGCGTTCGGCTGCGTACGCCCATAGAGAAGGACGGGGGGCTGCGTACTAATCACACGCAGCACCTGTCCTTCCCGGGAGCTGCCCGATACGGCGGCCGCGCACGCCGCACAGAGCTGTACGCGCCGGCCGTTTCTCGTGTGAATGAGGGCTAAGACTCGGTTTCATCTCATTTTAAGATAAAGACATGTTATATATCACAACAGTCAAATCTATATCCAGCCCCTCCCCTGTCACGGCAGAGCGCCGTGACAGGATCGAGAGGTGAGAGAACGCCGGTATGTGTTCGCTCACCTCCCGATCTACTGAGCCGACCTGTGACAGTCTCATTGTCACAGGTCGGCTAGAACTATGAGGTGAGTGAAAAGCGCCCCCACCCCCCTCCCCCCTCATAGTTCTCCTTTAACTAAACCCACTAGATTTTAGTAGACTATATCTACTGTAGATTTAGTCTACTAAAATCTTATAATATTTAGTTGACTAAAACAATTCCGATGACTAAAATATAACTAAAACTAAATGGCATTTTACTCAAAAGACTAAAACTAAATCAAATTAACACTGGGACACATATCTGCACACGGCCATCCATATTTCCTGCATTGCATTTGCAGGCTCTGCTTCCTGCTCTGTCGTGCTGCACAGTGATTGCACTTTACGCTTCCTCTGTACCAGTGCTGGTCTAACTGCCTCAGTACCTCATCCCTGAATCACCCACCCTTGCTGTGCCTGCGTGGCACAGACCGTCCTGGAAATATAGGACAGCACCAAACAATTGCCAGTGCACAAACCTGGCAGACCATCCGGCCAAGGTATAAATATTGCCCCAGGGTAGCCAGCAGGCCTGCCCAAGAGGCGTGGTGCAGAAAAAGCTTGAGGGCTGCGACCTAGTGCTGGTGAATCAAGTGGGGTCCCAAACCCAAGATTTCCGGCACACCCTGAGACACCACTCTCAGGGGGCACAGCACTCCCGAACCCTCCGGCCAGACAAGAGCAGCCCCATCCCTACCAGAAAGCATTAGCACCAGAGGGGTGCCTGCCTACAACCGGGGACAAGCGCGGCATAACCGTACAGAATCAACCCAGGAGGAAAGGAAACCCCTCCGGCACCCACCAATTACATCAGGGGATACTAAGCAAATGCTGCTGTTCTCCCTCCGAAAACTGATAAGTACAGATACTACACCTGATCTTAGCCAAAAGCCCGAGAAACGCATGCTCACTAGTAAGAAAGCCACATTAACATTTCCTGCAGATAAACTTCAAAGTAAGATGTGTACAGTGTTGGCCGATAGCTCATATTGCCCCTATTTAGGAGAGGAGAGGTGGGGGGAGAAGAAGAGGG